TACGGAAAAACACATACAACTATGTACACATGATCCCTGTCAGTTGCACCATTTTAAATTATGGAAGGCATTAATTTATCACCAAAAATCCCAATAGTTCAAAGCATCAGACAATTTCCTTTGGTTTACTGATGAGAGCTGCACCTAATAGGGTATGGCTACTCATGTATGTATAAATAAAGAATAAAAAAAGACCAAAGAACTTAAAAGTGAATACTGTATTCACTGGTAAAAATGCCTATTACAAACCATCAAGGAAATCCAAAGGTGAGAATGGAGAAGAGCCTATTTCCCCTCAGGGAGTACCTGTTTAAAAATCTGAAAGCTCATGGAAGTCACCTATCAAAAAAAAGGAATATGGCAAAAAAGACAATTTTTAAAATAACATAATTCAGTTTAAGACTATCTTGATGACTTGGACTCAGGAACTAAGATCCTCTAAGGATACAATCTTTAGAAATTCCATTCTAAGTCAGAATAAAGCAAAAAGTAAASAAATGCTGAATACTGTAGAAGTATGTATCAAAGTGAACCATTTCCATAATATGTATCACTTTTATATGCAGTTTTATTGCTCAAAGTTAACACTGTGTTTAAATTTTGCTAACTCATCTTTTCCTCTCTACATGGGGTCAAAAGAAAACAAACTTGGGTTCCCAAGGTTTTATACTATTTAATCATATTAGAAATTACAAGTTCAGAAATTAAGATAAATTACCGCTTAATTTCCATATAGATGTCAAGTGAACTTCATTTAGTAAAACCAAAACTTCTTGCTTCACATATTTAAAAGAAAATATGTGATATGATAGTGAAATATAAAATACCCACAAAACTAAACATTTTAAAAAACCTCTACAAAATTATAAAATCTTCATAAAGTTTGACCATATTTCTCTAATTTCCTTTGGTATAATGACTAGACCTTAGTGGCTTTTTGCATATTATTTTCACTAAAAGTTCACACGTTTTTTGATTAAGTGATACAAATTAGAACTGTCTTCATGATTTCACACAAACTAGAAACAAGCTAACAGCTTACTACTCAAAAAAAGAAATAAGCATTTCCTTGCAGAGTAAGCAAAGATAGAAGCTAGTAAGGAAATAAAATCAACAACTTCAAGGATTTTGGCTCTAAGGGGGAAAAATATTCTACTAGTGGCTCATAAGACCTAAGAGGAAAGATGGATGCAGAAACACTCCAAGGCCCAATCAAAGCATACAACCTGGTTGAAATGCATGTTAATGAGCTCAACTTAGTGATTAAGAGCCTGGAACCCACCCAAAAGGGGAGGTGTTATTTTAAAATCACTCAACATAGCACTGTGTTTGTGTTCCTAAACAAATATAAGGGTATTCATAGTTCCTCCAAATTACTGGGCCTGTGAATAACACAGGGATTTATCATCATGTACAATGTATCTATGATTCACTTAAGTTTCAGCAGAAAACCCAATACTTTTCACATAGTGCAGATGAGGCAATAAAGGAATTTTAAAGTTCACTTATCCAACTCAACTCAAAGCTTAAATCACAAGTATTAAAAATGATGCTATCTTATTCTATTAACCCATGTATGCCAATACAATCTTTGCAGCCTCACGTATCAGTGCCTAGAAAGTCTTCAAGAAAGGAGACAAGTGTTATACTGTGGACTGCTTTCACTTGAGAATGAATTGAGAAGCTGAAAGTCAAATAGTAGATACAACATGAACTTTAACTGACTTTAGGATTTTTAGAAGTAGCATATGCCTCTAAGTCACCAAAGTTAAATATGAACAAAATAAATAATTGTCAATGTGTAATCCACAGTATTTTCAAGAGGCATCACTGAATAGCTTCAATTAAAATCAATTATTCTCTTCTATGTGATTATAAATATATTATTTGGTGACCAAATAAATCAGATGAGTTTGTTTTCAAAATGATGTGTCTGGCAAAAGAATGAACATAAAGTTGGCAGCCAGACTGAAAAAAATATAAATGACCTAAATGGCCATGTTGCAAGTAAATACCCAAATTAAATATTTTAAATGTTTGGCATAACCTAGATCAAATACTCTCCATCATGCTAATAATATTCTCTAATCTTAGAAAAATGATTAAAAGCTGAGCAGATCCATGATATTATTTAAGCAATGAGAATGAACTGGTGGGAAACATGGGGAAAGCAATGCCCTCTTTTCATAAGTTTTTGACAAGTTACAGACTTCCCCTCTCTTACCATCTCAGGTAATGGAGAAAGCCCTCAGAAATGAAAACTCACTAGGATTAAATCCAAAGCAGAAAAAATATTTCACCAAAAGGGTTAAATAGAAAATATATACTTCATATGAATCTTTAAATCATATCTCAAATATTTAGCCTTTTTTTTAGATTCTAAAGTAATCTTTAGGTATCTCTGTTTACTTCCATATTTAAATAATAAAAAGCAGCATTTAACTTTATATGCCTAGCTTTTACTGAAATGATCAATTAGCCTTGATTCCTACATACATATATAAAGATCTACCTAAACTTTCACCATAGAACAGTCACTGGTAGATGCTATTTCTAATTGTATTCAGAAAATAGTCTTGACATCCAGTTCCAGATCTCAAGAATATCCAGATCCCTTAAAAGTATCTTTAGTTATATCTGGAGAATTAGTAGAATCATATGGAAAGCAGAAACTCCAGTGGAACAAAGTAAAAAAAAATCATCTGTTATTTTAAGTACTTTTTCACACCAAAAAATCCTTACACAATCTGAGATATTAAAAAAAAAAAAAATCCTGAGGTTAACAAGTCACTTTATACCCTTGCTAGTAGATGCTAGAAAAGTCATTCACTTGGCTGATTTCTGAATTAGCCTTTATAAAATTTCTGTGCTCATATGCTCTCGTTAGGAATTATATTCATGTCCTAAACTTACCTTTAATGCATTTTCAGAGGCAGCATCAAAATAGGCAGCAGAAATGTGACCACATGAATTAGATGCTTAAATTTTTATCTAGCAAATTCTCTGTAAGAGTTTTGAAATGAGAAAACTGATTTATGAAGAGGGCCAAAATTAAGCCCCAGATATCTAAACACACCAAAATATCCTTTATTTTTGTATTCCTGACTGTAAAATGATTGTTAACAAAACATTGTGTAAATTTTTGTTTGTCTAAAACATCTGTGATGTAACAAATATCTCTTTGTAAAAATTTTGGTGTCTATCCATATTTGTCATACACAAATGTGGGAAAACCTAGAGTTAATCACATGTAAATGCTTCAGGAGCTAATACTGTTTTCATTCTATTCACATTTTAAAAGTAAATATATCCACTTTTTACTATTGAAAAAAAATCAGAGTATTTTTGAAACTTAACAAATTTCAAGCCAATAGTTTACCCTCCCCTACCAGACTGTCAGGTGAGGTAATGAAAAGATTTTCTGACAGAGGTACAGAAAAGGTGACAGAAGTAGCAAAGGGGGTGGGGGTAAGTAAATTGTGGTTTAATTAAAAAGCAGAGTCTTTCAGAATTAACAAGCAATTAACATGAAATTGAAGAATTCCTATGAGAGTAAGGAAGGTGGGAGAGCTACAAAAAGGTCTCAAAGCCTCAGAGCAAATGGCACAGTGTATCAAAGGATAAAATGCAAAACATGGAAACTCACTGAATGGAGAGGAAAAGGAAAATACGTTTCTAGAGTAGAGAAGTTATTAAAACGTTAAGGATCAGGCCCTGCAGTGTTTTTGTTTTTGCTAGGAAACTGGGGTCTAGGAAAGGATGCATCCCCAAGCAACCGCCCTGAAAATAATGCACTGCCTAATGAGGTAGGGGCCAGGAATAAACAATGGGGGAGGGGAGGTCTGGCTCATTACCTTTATGGAAGATGCTGGTCAGAGGTACTCTGCCTGCTGCTTCTCTAGAGAGTGGACAGACCCCCTTCCTGCTCTCGAGTGTCCTCCGGTCAGTTCACACCTGGAAAACGGAAACCAGTGAGTGGTGCAGTGCCCCAGGGGCGAAGAGAAAAGGGTTCTAAGAAAGAGGGAGCAAAGGAAAAAGCTAGAAAGTGGCAAAGGGCAGGCAGGCAGAAACAGTGATTTTTCCTTCTTCCCAGACCTCTAGGTAGCCCCCTTCCCTTCGGAGGAGGTAACTGACTTTACCTGTTTCCTCAGCTGCTGCTTCTCTTCCTTCTTTCAGCCTCCTCCACACTCACCAACTTCTCCATTGAAGAAACACCCCAGGCAGGGCCGGACACGGGTGTTCCCGATCCTCCTAGGTGCCTCACGGCCCTGGCCCGGAGAGCATCCAGATAGCCGAGTAGGGTAGGGGTGGCTGTCCTGGCCTCCGGGCAGCTTCGGGACAGGGGTGCAGGGAGGAAGTCCCGGCTCGAGGATTGGGGGGGACAGCCCCGGTCCAGGGGCTCGGAGCAGGGGGGCTGTCGCGCTCCGGGCCAGAGGCTTCCAGCTACGGAGGGACTCAGGAGGTCTCGGGACAGCGAGGTCCTAGGTCGTACAGAGTCCGAAGTGCCAGCAGCCGGGTCTCCGGACAGGGGGCTTTCGGGATGCACTTTGCACTGGGCCACCCCCGCYCCCTCCCTCCAGCACTTTGGGGTCACTGGGATGGGACCAATCCTTCAGCAGCCAATCAGCGGCCGCACTAGAGCCTGAGCCTTGAGCCGTAAACCAGGTCCGGGGTGGGAGGGGGTGGGGGGTGGGGGCGACTTGGTTGGTTGGTTGCTTCCTTCTCCCCTCCTTTCCCCAGCAGCCCCCACCCCCTATCTGCCGTAAAGCTGCTTGCGGATTCGCGACAGTTAGGAGAGGCGTGTCGATCGGAGCTAACACTCGTCTCTGATTGGTCTCACTCACTTCCCCTCGGCTTCCCCGCGGAGGCTTCCAAGGCTCCGCCCCTGGCAGAGGGACTCGAAGTGGTTGCTAAGAGACACTGTACACCGAATGGTGGCTGTGCGCATGCGGGAGGAGTGGATTAGCGTATACATTCCGTGAACTACGGTGGCCCTGAAAGAACAGGCGTGAACTTGAATGGCGTTGAGAAGGCCGAGAGGCCTGAGGCAGCTCCCGGACAGGTAACCCCAAGCGGTCGTTGAACTGAGCGACTGGAGAGACGTGTGTACAGCAGAGTGAGGGTCTGGTACCGGAGCTGGGGAGGCAGCAGTCTCCACAAAGTGAGGAGGGAAAGGCCCTGACCCTCCGCCTCTCCTCAGCGCTTCCAGTGCTCAATCTTTGGTGCATCTGTCGGTCTCAGAGACCCGGTGAGCTACCAAGCTGGAGATGCCTCCCGGAGGCTGCAAGATAGCATTGTCTTTGGAACCGCGATGCTGGCTCAAGGGCTTTCCTGAAAGGATAACGATCCTCTCTCTGGTCCACGGTTTCCTGTGAGTGAAGGTAACGGGAGAGTGGGAAACATGTAACATGGGCATATGAAGACGTGTTCATTAAATGCGTTAATTCATTTCGCTAGTACTTACTGGCCAAGCACTGTTCCAGTCTTTGGGGAGACAACAGAAAACAAGAGAAAGGCAATCACTTGTGTTTTCATTTCATCAAGGGAGATTAATACAAGATGATCAGGGACAGTCTATACTAAAAGCAAAATAAGAGGATCGAATTTGCGAGGACGTGATGGGTTGTTTTAGGTAGTCAAGAAGGGTCTTAGAGTGACATTTGAGCAGCAGTCTGAATGACAAAGAGCTAGCCATGTCGGTTGTAGGGGAAGAAATTTGCAGGTAGAGTGAATCAGAAGTACAAAGCTTTTGATGCTGGAATAAGCTTTTCTGTTTACAGGAACTGAAGAAAAAAATCCTTGTAGCTGAAGCAGAGAGTAAAGGGTAGGGGGAGAGCATTGATAAGATTAGAAGGTGTGGGACAGGCTGTGGATCTTGCAGCACCTTGTTTGCTTTAACAGTCTCTTATTTATGTTTGAAAAGACTACTGGCTCCTCAATAGAGAAGACTGGTGGGCCGCTGGATTACAGCAAATATGGTCAGCTGTTATAGTTGTCCAGGCAAGAAATGATGTCTCAGACTAAGGTCACCCAGTACATCAGACATTTGACTCCCACCAGTATCCTCAAAAGTAAAATACCTACTTGATTGTATATGAAGGAAGTATTATAATGTATCGACTACTTTTATGTAATTAGATATATTAGGATATTTTGTGGCAGGTGGGAATCATAACCACTTAAGTTTGTTCTCTCCTGTTTTCTTCTACACTGTCATTCATTTATTCAAGAATACTTGCTTAGTGCCTTCCATGTGAGTCATCTACGTGTTTATGTGGACAAACAGGGCTCAGTTCTGCCCAGAGAAGCTCATAATCAAGTGTGGAGGGAACCAAAGAACCAAAGTTGAGGAGAATGCAGTGAAACAGATACTGTGGTATTAACCTACGGATTATATGGCAGGACTGCCTGATCCTGACTTGCATATGTAAAAGGCTCTCTGAGGGTAATGGTTTCCAAGTTGAAGGTGGAGGGTGGAGGTTGAGTATGATTTAGTCAGAAAAAAATGGGTTACACACAGCCTGGGAGTCTCTTAAGTGCACAATTTCTAGGGACCTTAGAAAAAGCATAGAGCTTAGTTTGTGGTCTCAGAAGTGAGGAGACCCCAATAATTAGATCTCAGAGGACCTGGTAATGCCATGTTTAAAGGGCTTTGACTTTATCCCAAAGAAAGTAAACATTTTTTCAGAAGGCAGTGGATGTAAGGTGGGCCAGATACAACCACTTAGGAAAGAATCTGTTGCAATTGTCTAGGATAAAAGTGGTAAATGCAGCAATGACAGTGAGGCTGGAGGGAAGACGGATGGGGAAGGGTTGGAAGATGCCCAGGTTTCTAGCTTGGGTAACAAGGAAATATAGAAGTCATATTGAACTGAGGAGTGTAGGAGAAAAGCAAGTTTGAGGGAAGAGACAAAGAGTTGAATTTGCCAGGTGGAGGGTTCCAGAAGGTACTTGAGTACAGTCTTGTGACTTGGAGTGGTTCAACTTACCATAAGTATCTGTAGAAATTGTACTTCAAATTGTACTTTGGTCTTTTCCTAGACTGGCAATAATGCAGTCCAGTACTCTCTCAGTGGTGCGCAGTGGCAGTGAGCCACATCCCAGTCAGCCACAGGATCACCAGTGGAAACTACCAGTACTCTACAGCATACTGTATTTTTTTTGGATATTGCATTTTGTGGTTTTGTATCCCATCAAATCTACAAAATGCCAGTCTATGTCTATGCCTCCTATATCATCTGTATCCATGTAATCATTCTGGTTTTGTTTTTCACTTTCCATAAGGTATTCAATAAGTTATATGAGATATTCAATGCTTTATTATAAAATAGGCTTTATGTTAGGTCATTTTGCCCAACTATAGGCAAATGTAAGGGTCTGAGCATATTTAAGGAGGTTAGGCTAAAGTATGATGTCAGTAAGTTAAATGTATTAAATGCATTTTTAACTCATGATAGATTTATCAAGAATAATATCATTGTAAGTCAAGGAGCATCTATAGAAAGCTCAGAAAAAATATAGTTAAAGACATTGAAAGTCCACAAAATTGATAGAGAGGACTGAACACTTAGAGATCCCAACATATAGGAGACCAGAAGAGGAAGAGGATCCAGTAAGGGTGACTGAGTAGGACCTTCCAAAGAGGGAGTTCCACTACATAGTTATCCACATGAACATATGCTTATTTTTATTATAAGGAATTTTCCCCTTTGGCCAAGAATTCCAACAATGAAATTGTAAGTGGGAAAAATAGATTAGTAGGGAGAGGAGAGTAAAATGGTATACACACCGAGAGAAGGCACTTGAATGTTATAGATTAATGGTTAAATTAATATGCATATCTGGCGAGTGCCAAAGATTTCATTCTCTTGTTCTGTGTAAGGCTTTTCAGAAAATACAAATTTTTAGAACATCTTTTTATTAACCATTTGGTTGAAGTAGAAAACCTAAAAGTTGGGTTCAGTAAGAGCCAGGTTGCAAATCATGCAGGGAATTTTCATCATTTCTGGTTGTTTCTTGAAGCTAAAACCCTTTAGAAAGTGTAGTTATATAACTGCATATTCAAAAGAATAAATGCCAAACTCTGCAAGCAGTTCCAAAACAGAGATCTCAACAAGAGTCTAAAACAGTAATATGCCATTTAAAATGAGATAACTCTTCCTAAAACAAAATAAAAACACTTTGATGTATACCATATATTTTGGGGTGTAGAACTTCCAATTTTTTAAATCATTTTTAGTTTTAATCTCATTATACTTCTTATCAGTCATATTTCAAATCTCTAAATTTCCCTTTTTCCTTAAAATAGATAGGTGAAATATAGTTAGAAACTATTGTAATTTTAGGAATAATCAGAATAGCATTTGTAATTAAATGGTATTAAATTATAGTAAATTAGATGGTTTTAACTTTACCATGATGTTTTACTAATTTATTATAAAAGCAAAACAACTTCCCAGGAAATTTGAAAGGCATTTAGAAGACCTCACCTTTAATCCAACTATACTACCTTGTAGTTTTTTGTCTGTTTGTTGAGATAGCATCTTGCTGTGTGCCCAGGCCAACTTCAGACTTGGGATCTTTCTGCTTCAGTCTCCTGTGTAGCTGGCCTAAATATATTTTTGTAGTTTATTTTTGTCTTTATTATTTTACATAGCTGCAACAATACTTGTCTTCTAGACTTAATCTGTTCATTCTGTCTATAAAGTTAATCCTGAGAAGTTTCCTTACGGGGAACCTTGATCTCTACACCAGGCCTCCAATATTCTTCAGGTGATGGAATTTCACAGTAGCAAAAGAATCTAGGAATCATCTGATCCAGTGATTTTCACATTTTTTTAGCAGTAGTACTACAATGTATGTGTATGTGAATGTGTGTGTATGTGTGTGTGTGTGTGTGTATATATATATACTCACACACACATATATATATTCATGTCTTATTAGCAACAATGTTGCCATATTAGGCCCTATTAACAAACTGGACCAAACCAGAACAGAGTCACCTGTGTTAGATGCCAGTAATGTAAGAACTAAAAAACAGGAGATGCCCAGCAACAAATGAGAAGGGGCCCTGTGTGCTTGAGCTAGCAAAATAAGGATGCCCCCTCTTTTTTAACCTGATAAGGAAAATAACTTCGAAATGACCAATCCATTTTTTTGTTTTTCTCTCCTGCTCAGCTCATTGGAACACCTTCTCAATTCATGAATTATTAATTTGAAAGAAAAAACTATTGAGAAGGACATGCTGGTATATGCCTTTAATCCCAGCTACTGGGGAAGCTGAAGCAGTAGGATTGCAAGTTTGAGGCCAGCCTAGGCAACTTAGCAAAACCTTGTGTCAAAATTTAAAAAAGGACAGGGATTGTAGTTCAGTGGTAAAGCCCTTGTCAAGCTCCAGAACCACAAACAAAGAAAATGCCTAGTAGATCTTTAAACTAAATTTCTTGAAAAATTTTTTAATAGCTCATGTATTTATAAGTTCAGTTTTATAATATGTACTAATTATAAAATCAGGAAATTTCAAACTCCAAAAGAAGGAAAGAGAGGGAGAGAAAGAGGTATATAAATATGTAAATGGTTATGGAGAACATATTGTCTTATAGCTGTCACAGCACCCATGCAGCTCAATGTATTTGCTAAATACTGCTTCATCTGAAAGATGAATGTATATGAACTCTTGGTGAAGGACCTGATCACTGAGTTGTTTCCTGATTGTCAGCTCTTCCATATTTTTGGCCATTTGTTCTTCATCTAAAGTCCTGTTGGGCTGTGGATATAGTTCAATGGTAGAGCGCTTGCCCAGCAGGCTCAAACCTCTGGGTTCGATTACCCATAAAATCCTGTGATCAAGTTGCAAGTATTTTTCAAGTGATTGAGAGATATTATTAAATGGCCTATTAAATTGTGCTATTAAATTTTCTAATTCTTAAATTAGAACTTTTCATTGATTTAAAAGCACTTTAGATAGTAGAGGTCTTGGAGTTTATTTTGTTTTGTTATGTTTGCATTGCTGCAGATCTAGTCAGGGACTGCACATATGCAGAGATTTGTTTGTTTCATTTGCAGGGTGCTGGGAATCAAACTCAGTCCTCTTATCTGTTAAGCAAGAACTCTACCACTGAGTTCCACACCCTGCCCTAGGTTACAGAGTATTTTTTTTAACAAGTTAACATTGATTAGGTTTTAATAGACATCATTTTTATTCACTTAGATAATATCAAATCGACAAGAGTTTGAAGCACTAATTTTACAACATATAAATGAAGTAACTCAGGAATAAATATTTCTGAAGTTTAATTCATAAAACTCTATTCAACCAGAATTGAGTTTATTCGTTGAGTAGAAAAAAATTATAATTTGTAAAATGCCCAAGTGCCGC